AAAAATAGACAGGCCAGAGTTAAATTTGCCCAAAAACACCTCAAGAAGCCAGCCCAGTTCTGGAAAAGTATTCTATGGACAGATGAGACAAAGATCAACCTGTACCAGAATGATGGGAAGAAAAAAGTTTGGAGAAGAAAGGGAACGGCACATGATCCAAGGCACACCACATCCTCTGTAAAACATGGTGGAGGCAACGTGATGGCATGGGCATGCATGGCTTTCAATGGCACTGGGTCACTTGTGTTTATTGATGACATAACAGCAGACAAGAGTAGCCGGATGAATTCTGAAGTGTACCGGGATATACTGTCAGCCCAGATTCAGCCAAATGCTGCAAAGTTGATCGGACGGCGCTTCACAGTACAGATGGATAATGACCCCAAGCATACAGCCAAAACTACCCAGGAGTTCATGAGAGCAAAAAGGTGGAATATTCTGCAATGGCCAAGTCAATCACCAGATCTTAACCCAATTGAGCATGCATTTCACTTGCTCAAATCCAGACTTCAGACGGAAAGACCCACTAACAAGCAAGACCTGAAGGCTGCGGCTGTAAAGGCCTGGGAAAGCATTAAGAAGGAGGAAACCCAGCGTTTGGTGATGTCCATGGGTTCCAGACTTAAGGCAGTGATTGCCTCCAAAGGATTCGCAACAAAATATTGAGAAAAAACTTTTTTGTTTGGGTTATGTTTATATGTCCAATTACTTTTGAGCTCCTAAAATGTGGAGTGTTTGTAAACAAATGTGTACAATTCCTACATTTTCTATCAGATATTTTTGTTCAACCCTTTAAATTAAACGTTACAATCTGCACTTGAATTTTGTTGTAGAGGTTTCATTTCAAATCCAATGCGGTGGCATGCAGAGCCCAACTCACTAAAATTGTGTTACTGTCCAAATATTTCTAGCCCTAACTGTATATATATATATATATATATATATATATATATATATATATATATATATATATATATATATATATATATATATATATATATATATATGTCAACTAAAAATTAAAATGTATAAAAACACAGAAATAAAAAAATAAAATAACTATGAACTTTATTTAATGCAGATCAAGAAAGATCTTGTGAAATCCCAGAATTCCAATTAAATGCATTTCCTAACAGTTCTTTTATGTCAAACAACAAGACATATATTTGGAAGTAAACTCAACATGTGTGGATAAGCTCACATCAGAAAATCTCTGCTCTTTTCCAGCAAACATACAGCAGAGCTGACTGCACCTTCAGAGAACAGATCCAGGCCGACGGTTACAACGTCTACAGCTCTGATGGACACGGGGCCCTCCTCAGTTTGGGAAACAACCAGCAAAGACACAGCGGCTCAGACCATGGTGTTCCAGCTCTGGCCCGCTTTCTTCCCAGGTTAAACACCCTTCAGCAGGCTGTCCCCACAGAGCCGGATGTTCCTGATCAGCTCAGTCCAGAGAAAGTACAAGGGGCTGTGGACATGGTGGGCTCCTTTGGCAAGCTGTCTCATATAATTCACAGTCCCAGCTTCCATAAGAGATGAAGCAGCTCGTCTGAAACAGCTGTGAAGGGATGTGCCCAGGAACACCCAAGCACTACCTCCTGCATGTTGTAAACTCATGGACAGACAGGAGTTGTGACTGGTCAGCACATAGAAATGTTGGTGGCGTGGCTGTCCAGCCGGGGATGCAGAGAGGCATGCTGAGTGGAGCCTGACACCTGGAGGGAGTTCAACCCTCCATCCTGTATTTACACCCACTCAACAAACATGGGATGTGTTCTCAGTTTTCCATCATTCCAAAAGCGTTTTCTACATGAAGAAGTATATTTGCTCTGAAACAGTGACTAAAGTGTTCTGATAAACCGCTGCTTTAGTGGACGACTGGCAAAGGACAAAACTTGCACAACATTCATCTGATAGCTTCAGCGCTATGTGTGATAAGCCGCCCGCTGATATTAGAGAGCCAATGATATATCTGGTGGTTCTTTTGACAAACTGTTTCTATTAACTGCACAGAAGAAAAAATGCATCTTTTGGGTCCTTTCAAAACACCAACAGTTAGTGAGTTCTCCAGACAAATGTATTGTTTTGCAATACTTGTATTTATTTAGTTATTTAAATGTTAGTCTTAAGTTTTAGTGTTTACCTCTATTTGTACTGGATGTGTGCACATGTCCAATAGTGAAAGTGTTTAAACATGTTTTGAAATAAATTGTTGAAATTAAACATTGTAAGCTGAAGTGACAGTACTTTGTGAGATTTACAAAAAACATATCTTTAAATATGTTTAAATAAGAATTTCAAAGCATTTTCACTATATCACAACATTTGATTTTAGATCAAAACCACCAGAATTACAAGTGGTTGAATAAATATTGAACACAATGACAGTACATTTTATTTCTCCTTTTAAGATGAAGTCCAGCCCAGATGCTGACATCAACCAAAGCAATCCAGACATACAAAAAAGATCAAGACAAAGCCAAGTGTTCATTCTTCATGTGTTCATCCATAAGTGTTGAACATATGAGGAAAATTCTAATTAAAAGACCCTCAAGAAGTTAAAAAACCAAATCTGTCATTATTAAATTAATAGCTAATTTAATATTAAGAGAAGGGAAATGAAAATATTTATCTTTGCCCTTCACAAAGTTGTGATGCCACATAAACATAACAGTGTTTTCCCTGCTGCATATCATACCAATGGCAGTGATTACATAGTCCAAAAACATAGAATCATACCAAGTAGTTTTGATGTGTTTCAAGTGAAGATATTTCAGTAAACTTGAAAAAAAAGAATAGTCTAACAAGGAGTTTGTTCTAAATGACTAATTAGCCTTAAAATAAAGGTTAATTAAAACATATATATATATATATATATATATATATATATATATATATATCTTTATCTGGCTTGTAGATCATTTCTATTCTAAAATTTCAAGTCATTGACTCCATTTCTCTTAATAAAGTGAAAATTGTGTCTTATAGAAATGAATCTCCCTGGAGACATTCTCCAATAAGAAGTGAAAGAAGTCTCTGTGGAAAACTGAACCTACATGGTGTGAAACTTGACTTTATGTTTATTATCAAACCTAGTGTGAAACTGTTATCATCACTCAACACTAAAACACTCAAGAGTAACGTTCTTTGTGGAAACATGATGTGCAATGACGGCAAAATATAATGTTTTGCCGTAATTACTTTGTATTTTTGTGTTTTTATCATGTAAAGTACTTTGAAATGCCTTGTTGTTGAAATGTGCTATAAAAATAAAACTTGATTGATTTAAGCAAAGATGGTCTTTAGTAATCCGAGTTCCAGTGGTTTGTTGGACCCCACAGCACAGCCCTTCATTCTCAGTTCCTTTCTTAGAGCTGAAACCACAAGAGTCTGGAAATACTTCACAAGAACTGCACTTCTAGATTCTCTTGATATCACAATCTGACCCTCCACACATAAACTTGTACTCTTGCACATCTAATCTTCCTGCTTCTAACACTTTGAAGACAAAAGGTTCACTATGTCAGACATGCCTCTATAATGAGACAATCAGAGGAAAGCACTTCATCTGTCATTTCACTAGACCTGTAATATGAAAGACTAACACAATATGACAGGTTCCATTCATTTTAACATGGATTTATTCCCCAGAAGGCTCCCAAAACGAACATTTCTGATTTCAGTTTCAAGCATATCATTACAACACACATACAGTTGATAGTTTAGGTCTATTGCTACAGATTTGGAAGTAACACAGCTACAGTGGAAACCAAACTGCAGATTTTTATAGGCTGACAAAAAAATAATTTACTTTAAATACCCTTGTCAACATTTATACCATAGCTGATATTAGTAAATAAATAAATGCATTCACTACAGAAATATTACATTAATCCAGACTCAAGATTCACAGTGGATGTTATATTTATTCATAGAATTATCCAAATATTTCATATTAGGCAACTAAACTCACCACTGAGAAGGATGGAAAAAGCTTTTCAAAGCTTCAATCTGGTTGGAAAAATTCAAAGGAAGAAAACAGATTCCAGGACAGGCTGCTTTACCAAATCAAATCATTTAGACGTCACTGGTCTGGATGTGGGTTTGCACTGATGCAGAAATGGAAAAAAAAAGGTTGCTTGAAGAAACACGGTGAAAATAAAGCTAAGAAAGTGTTTTGCGTAAAATACCAATATACACTGATGTAAACCCGAGTAGTCATCTACTGATTTCATTTTTCAGCTTCATGCTTTGCATCATGCTGGAAGCCTTTCAGGATTCAGATTACGCTTTGAAACATTCCAGTGAAGGCTGCACTGATTGCAATTTTATGGCCGTTCACTGATCTTTTGAAAAACCTAACCTGCCAATTCTTATTTCAGCCGATACCAGTGTTTTTTTTTGTCTGAAATGTTGCTAAATACAGCAAGAAAGTTGCTGAATTGTTAACTAAACGTGCAGACAGGGCCGCATGAGAGCTGAAGACAGAGGTTGATTTCTAGACCTTTGTTGAGGTAGATAAGATCCGTGGATAAGATCAGCATCACATGCAAAAATTGGCTGATCACTGATCTCCCAAAATTAAGGAAATCGGCACTAATAAATCAGTGCACCCCTAATTTCAGTACAAAGTGAGACAAACAGTAAAAGAGAGACTTTGCTGTGATACTGAGCAACTAAATTGTGGACTGTTGGCACCAAGATGCTAAGCTGCAGGCCGGCCTCGCTTGTATCAGTGGTTCTGGAGGTTTGGTGACTGCCTGGTGCTGATTTGCTGCTGGGTAATAACATTAAAGATTGGACTGCCTTGCTGATTTCAGGTACTGCCTGCAGAGCCAAGACTGATTTGAGTTATTTTATTTTTCATTGATATTTCCAACTAAATTAAATCCTTGAATTTAGTTGAGTTCTTTTTTTTTGTTTGTTTGTAATAAATCACAAATTTGGCATTCTCTTTAATTGCATCGTCAACAGGGCCACATTTACCCGGTGCCGTATCTGGTCAACCCAATTTTATTAAATCAATTAACTGCAATACAGCAAGATCTTTTTTTCCAACTGAATCCAAAACAATTTGTATGCTGCACTTCTTTCATTTTGGTTGTTTTAGGTTTTTTTTTAAAGATGAACACTTGATGATTTTGGCACAAAGTTGGGACACCAGTCCCTCACACTGGTGTGTTATCTAAACAGTTCACAGTGATAGGATGGAAATCCAGGTACAAAAAAAGCATCAAATAACACTTCCTTACAGTATTTGATAATACCTGTTTATCACTTCATGTGACATTTCTTGTGCAAGACTTTGTTGAACCAACTTTTCATTTTTGTAAAAATCAAAAATTTTGATTTATTATCATGACAAATTCCATTTAATGTTTAAAGCCTCCAAATGTTTTACTAATTTCTCCACTGTTTTTTAAATAAATATAAATAAAAAAATTTAAATGATTAAATCCAGTTACTGAGTCCAGTCTAGTGACACAAATCATGCTTCTTTATTAATCTTTATACATTTTCCTGACAGTTGTGTTTACTTGTGGGGGAGGGTAATGGGAATTTTTTATGTTGTAGGTTTATTTTTATTTATGCAGCCCATTGAGCTGCTTTTAGTACTAAGGGTGCTTTATAAATAAATAAATTGATTGATTGATTCTATGACTAGTGTCCCATTATAAATGTAATAGGACAGAATATTTGTGCTTGTGGGGCTGTGACCGCTGATACAGTTACCTAAGAAAGATATAATAATAATCAAGTTTTATCACAACTTTTATCATTCTCACAATAGCACGATTAAATATTGTGACAAAACTTAAAATCCATATGGCCCAGCCTACAGCGTTAAGAGTCAAAAGGTGGTTCAATAAAGTTGACATTGTGCACGTTTATGTAACGTGCTTGCTTTAGCCCTTTAGCGTCCTCCTGCCATAAAGCCTGGCGTTTTCAAAGCGCTGTGTGGTAATGAGGCAGGTTAAGGTTCCAGTGAGGAAGTTAGCAGGAATCGTCCGATCACTGAACATTATTTCTGCTGCAGGCTGCAGTTATAACTAAAATCATCACATGAGCTCAGATCCTGTCCTTCCACTGGACTCCATAGTGAAACGATCTGGATGTGTTTGCCCTTCAACTCTCAGATCAACTCCTGCATTAGACGTTTAGGATCGTGTCTACAACAGAAAATATGTCTGGAGTGTCAGCAGAGGATGAATCTGCAGAGGACCTGGGACCGCTTTGGCTCACGTCCAAGCCTTCTGTTCATGAATAAAACATCTTCATTAAAAAATAGATAATTAAGAAAGATCCCCGAGATTTTCAGCACTAATCTTTGGTGTTTCTTCCAGCTCCTGACAGAACGAACTGAGCAGCAGGTAAAGCGCCCTGCTGCACCGATAAGAGACCTTCTGGCTGTAGGAGGATGCGTCATGCCTACCACTCACAGTCAGAGCTAGCATCACTTTAAGGCACTTTCCTGCCACTTACAGGTTGCTTTGAGTCTTCTAAGAACCAACCGTTATCTGACTCAGAGCCCAGTCCATTCAGTGATAACTAACATCACATCTGACAGGTTGAGCTTCCAGTATGGCAGCTGTTTGATCTGCTGGTGTAGCTCCAAAGAGTTGCTGGTGAAGGAAAACAGAAGAGAGTGATGCTGACAATGAAAGTTCGTTTTAGTTGGAGAGACCTGAAGGAGAGGATTGTTCTCAGTTTAAAGCAGCTGGCCTCCTATTGGCTGCTGGATAAGAATGATTGTAAAAGCCCCGGGAAGTGTCCTCATCAGCGTCCTGCAGAGCTGGAGGTCTCAGTGTTTCATTCTGTAGTAAACAAATGTTGCTACGACAACAATTGAAGCAACAATGACTGCGTTCCTCCATGGAAAGCTTTGAATGACACCAACCTGGAAGCATCAAAAAGAAGGAGGTTAGAGGCTCTGATCTATTAAAGCAACACTGATGAAGTCAGAGGTGGCAGTCACTCACCCATCCCCCCTGTTGCACCAGCCAGGGGTACAGCAGCTCCCTGATGACCTGTAGGACCCAGCTGATCACCATCCTGATGTTCTCCAGATGATTGGTGGTGAGGGCCTGGAAAAGAAAGAGCTGAATGGGTCAGAGCATGCTTTATGTTTCTGTCTGACCTACACATCAAATACAATGTTGGGAGTTTTGTTATGAATGAGACTTTGCTTTAAATTCCTGTAAAATTTGCAACTGGTTTTCCCACCATGAGAGCATCCTGCCTGAGGGTTCAGATCTCAGGAGTAGCTGACAATACAGCAAATAAACAAAAGCTAAATAACAATGAGAACACTCTTATTCTTTTTGTGCAACATGGGAATGATAAAATACAGACAAATAGTCCTTCTGAACAGTTAATTGACATCTCTGCTGCTAACCACTGCCTCCTTGTGGAGAATATGAACTAAATTTGAAACATTCCGTATCCGTGTGTACGGAATGTACACATGAATAGACTACATGTGTATATTCTGTACACCAAGATTTAGATCTGTTATTAATGTTTCTGTTTTGGCTGTTAACTGATATTTTACACATTTATTTCACTATCCTTTTGACACCTTAAAAAAAATGACCACATCACTGACTTCACCATAGCTCCAATGCTTCAGCTAAACTCCCACAATCCTTTGCTGCATTACTGTCTCATGGCCATCCTTTTCTTTTCACCTCCAGAAACCCGTAGGAACCAGAATAAAATAAATATTGGTTGTTAATATCAGTCCTGTTTTATCTATCGAACTGATTGACATGTTAAAATCAACTGATGTTGGCCGATACCAGTGTTAGTGCAGCAATATCCTGCATCCTAGTAATTTTTGGAATAGCTTCACTTGTATATTATAAATATATTATCTAGCAAATCTCCCCTATCATGAAGCTTTAATCAAACTTTTCTCTGGATTTTGAGAAAATCTCAGCTAGACTGTTATCCATAAATCAGACACAGAAATGGATGGACAAGATCAGTTACCCTGTAAATGAGTCTGTAAGCCAGATGGAAGAGCGCCACCACTCTGCCCCAGTTAATGCCATCAATAAAGATGCTCCTGGCCACCATCATGAAGACTTCTTTCGCACAGTTTCCCTGAACTTGGTTGATCAGTCTGAGAAGAGGAATAATTCAGAGAAAAACAGGATTATTAAACAGCACAGAACAGTCTGCACACTGAAACTCTCTCTCTCTCACACACACACACACCCACACACACACACGCGCACACACGCACGCACACGCACACAAATTCACCCGTCAATGCAGGGCAAGATTCCTGGGAAAAATCTGAACAAAGTACAATAACCAGAGAATCAACCTTGCATAATTTTATTCAACCTAAAATCATAAGAGCATGTTGTCCACCTTTTTTATATGTCTTAAGGGAATTAGAAACATTTATGAAAAAATTCTGACTTAAAGAATAATAATTCAGGCATGAAAAGACTAGTCTACAGTGTAGACACAGCTGGCCGGAGGCAGACTCACAGAAGGCAGACGCACAGAGGGAATACTGTCATGCAATCAGCTCCACCAGCAGGCATAGCATGTGAAGTGACTTGCCCTAGGACACAATACCTGAGATGGGTGGAGTGGTGGTTCGAAAAGGCAACCCTCCTAGTGGCCATTGCCACTGACAGCATCAATTCACAAACAAATGCCTAAAGGTACTTTAAGACAGATTCAACCCAATTCTGCAGACAGGTCCAAAGTCAGCTACATTCATTGTGATTTCATAAGAGCTGAATTTTTTTAAGGCATGAGTAAAAAGACAATATACACTCATATTCAATAAATTGTCCTAAGTGTTCAGATGAAATTTTTGTTCTCTCTCCTTTTAATGAAGATGCCTTTTAAATGAAGGCACCTTCATTTAAAAACTATGTGATAACTAAATAGGTTTGAGTTTAAAAAAAACAAAAATAAGTAAGGGAGCAAACACTTTTTCACAGCACTGTATGCATTAAATTTGAATGTATATATGATTAGACTGACTTGAGTAAATATTTTTTTAGATAAATTAGATCTGCTTCGTGAAGTGTCTTGAGACAGCGTTGTTGTCAGTCAGTGCTATACAGATGCAATGAGTTGGTTCTGTACTCAGTGCAGTGCAATGCTTACCGCTGGAACTCCACATTTCTGTTCAGTTCGTCTGCTATTTTTAGCAGCTGATCCACCACTTCTTTTACTTCTGGATCATCTTGTTCATGTGGCCTTCCTCCCAGATCCACAGAGTTGACATGACGACCAGGATCCTCCGTGCTTATACGCTCTATCACATACCTGGAACACATATCACTCATTGGCAAACACAGTTTATGCAAATAAACAGGAAAATAAAATGTAGGGTTCAATTTACATTTTCAATTTAACTCAACTCAGAAGAATTCTCAACAGCCAGAGCAGAAAGAAACAAGTCAGACCAGTGAGTATTTATAGGTGCCATGTTCCTAGAGAAGAACATGGCATTCCTCTCTAGGAGGAACACATATGATCTGATGTCATAACATATGCCTCTCCCGGGAGTCTTCCTCCGTCTCCAGGAGGAAGACTCCACATCAAACAGAAACACTGTACAAATAGGAGGAAAAGCATCAGCCTATCGAGCTGAAGCTTTAGATATTTATGAACTGAGAAGATAATTTGGTAACTGACTTTGGTTCTGGTTCCATTTTGTACATTTGTTAGCAGTCTTTTGTGACCTGGATTCTAGAGCTCACAATAAAAACACACCCAGAAAACAGTGGATAAAATGTTCCTGGGTATAAAAACAAACATTCAGAAAGTTGTTGTTGAAGCATGCCTAGAATGAGACTCACCCTCTGAGCACCACCACGCCCTGCTCCAAGATGGGGTCGTCAAAGACATCTGAAAGAATAATGTCAATCATCATAAATATGGAAAGACCTTAGTAATTCTAGTCCCCATCACATTATGGTGCAGCACCATTACATCCAGATGCTCTGGGTCTAAAGCCAAAAAAGGTGACACAAGTTATATTTGTCTGTTGAATGTTCCATCAATTAATTGTGCAGGAAAAACATGTCTGAGTTGGATAGATTAGTGATTGCACACTGACAATAATTTTGCATTAAAAACAAAATGATTAAACTCTTATCCCCCAAAGTGACCAATTCATTTTTTACAACAACAATTTAGAACTTCCTCAGACCTTTTGGTTTTCACGTCAATTTCTATGTAGTTTCACACAAACAACTTCTTGGGTCTGATGTATGACTCGATTTAAATATTTTATCTATTTTCTTTGCCTTTATTGTATGGTTGGCTTGCAGATTAGAAAAAGAAGACAAACTATTTGCCTGTTGGACTGTCTGTTGAAAAAAGACCATGGCTCAAAGCTGCTCAATACTGCACTTGTGCAAGATGTGGCAGAAATCTAGAATTCATATTTTTTTTTTTTTGACAGATCTGATCTAGGCCTGGACCAGATCAGAGTCAAAGTGTATCAGGCTTATGATCCCAGCTAAACCCTGGGAGGGACTATGACCCCAGGTCCCGTCCAGTTCTGGTACCAGTGGTCATGGTCAACGACCAATGCTAAGGTCCTTCCTGTGGCTGTTGCATTTCTTCTTTTGTTGAGTGTCATCTCTTCAACCAGAACCAGGGAGTTAAAAGGTTTAACAATCATATAAAGAAGACTGGTTCTGTTTGGAAGCTCAGAAATGAAGGTGCAAAAACCGATTCTTCATAACATCAAATTGTTTCATTTATATGAAATGCCTGGCGTGTAACATTTGATCATTTTTCAGCATTAAAGCCTGTTATTGTATATAACCAAATATCATTATTTCTCAAGGTAATTTACACTGAGAGGTTCTGGTCTTTTCCTGAAACCTGGCGGAGCACAGAGGCAACAATGATCTCGATAATCTTCCAGATCACCTGAGATACAATTCAAAGAGTTTTATCTACAGCTCTGTGAAAGACCTTATGAGTTACAGCTATTGGACTCAATAAAATAGTAGAACATATTGTTCATAATATTCCGACCCGCACATCTTTCCTATAATCTGTCTTTTCCACCACAAGTATTCATGTTTGGTATCAAAAGGGCGTTCAAAGCAAGAATTTGTCTGTTAGTATCTATAAGTAAGCATGTCAGATTAAAGCTCCAGGACTTCTTCCAGTGTGAATACTTTCTGCCACAACCTCCTTAAAACAGACTCACTGAAGGCCTGAAACCCTCCAGATAAGGAAGTTTAGGACATGTTAGTGAACTAAAGTCCGAAACAAAACATAGAGGAAAAACAGGCAGCTGAAGAGTACTAGAGGACACTGAGTTTGTGTGTTTAGTAGCCTGAGGCCGCTGTCTCTCCTGGATGAATCAGACCTGGCTCCACATACCTCCTCCACCCTCAGCGCCTTGCGGTTCCACCTCGTCTTCTAGTTCCTCGTCCCCTCGGTCGTCCGCCATGACTCCAAACTCTTGTTTCGGCTCTAACTGGGTTTTAGACACTTAGTCTACAGCTCAGAACCAAACATGAGGGGAATAATCCACTTTGGTCGGTGTAAACACACTCTGTGAAATGTTTTACTTTCCCTCTTTCCACGGAAGTAAGGCGGAAGCGCCTGGGCAGCGAAACCACGCCTCCCTCATCCAGTTCGGGTGTGACCCTGCCGGGCAAAAACCCGCTGCTCACAGCAAACCGGTTTTATCGACATAATTAAACGCAGAGTTTATGAGAGGTTTTTTTTTTGTTTTGTTTTTTTTTTTTTTTGGAATAGATCTTTATTGAGAAACAGAAGACAAAACAATACAAATACAATAATGACTTCCAACAGGGGTCATATACATAGACAGTACTTCCCCGTAATATTACATGAACATTTTTTTTAATCAAGGTAATCTCAAACAAATAAGGCAATTACATTAGTGCAATTCTGTATAAGGCATATCTAGTAGAGGCATATTTAAAGTGGAAATATAAAGTAACATTGACAATAAGAGATTAGTATTTCAATTAGTATAGTCGTGTAACAGTGATGATGAATCACAAAAGCTGCTGGACAGAGAACAGTGAAGTTTGAGAAGGTTCCGTTGTGCGCCTCTTCTAATGTGGAATCTCTAAGTCTCCACTAGATGGCAGTGTTCAGTTTCAATCATCAAACCATACTGTTAAAACCTGCCTGTCAGGTTTCTTCCTCCATTTTGAATAAACAAGTCTGTTCTGACATGGTAGTAGTTTTCCACTTGGCAGAGATTGCTATCAGAGTCAGCTGTCACTTGCATGTTACATGTAGAAAATAACTGAGTGAGGTAAACAATGTAAACAATGCTCTCAACCGAGATATGGGTGAGACATTTGAATGTGTGTTGAAAACAGGGTCTGTTTCAAAATCCCAAATGCATCAGGACATTGATTTCACTATCTCCTTATCCAGTTAAACTAATTCATCAAAAGGTAAATGTTACAGCATCATCTACAAAAGACTTAGACTTAGACTTCCTTTATTGTCATTGTACAAAAAAAAAACACAAGGTGAATCTTGACAACGAAATGTCGTTACTTGGCTACCAGTGTAGCAGAGCTAAAACCTTATACTACACAATAAATAATAATACAATACAAGTGCCATAGAATACACAGGTTCAGTGTTGTGAACAAAACTAAACTAAAGTGCATGTATTGACCATGTCCATGGGGGGTGATTTGGTTTGTGAGTGTGTGAAGGGGTGTTACGTGGCGTTAAGCAGTCTGATGGCCCGGGGGAAGAAACTGGTCAGTAGTCTGGTTGTTCTGCACAAGATGCTGCGGAACCTTCTTCCAGACGCCAGGGGGGGAAACAGTCCATGGTTGGGGTGGGTGGGGTCGGAGAGATCTGGTGAGCGCGAGATAGGCAGCGCCTCTCTGCGATGTCCTTGATGCAGGGGAGCAGAGCCCCCGTGATCTTCTCCCCTGTCCTCACCACCCTCTGTAGAGACTTCCAGTCAGAGGCCCTGCAGCTCCCAGACCAGATGGAGATGTAGCTGGTCAGTAGGCTCTCGATGGTCCCTCTGTAGAAGGTCTGAAGGATGGGGGGCGGGAGGGATGCTCTCTTCATCCGACGCAGGAAGTGCATGCGCTACTGGCCCTTCTTCACCAGTGAGGAGATGTGGGGAGACCAGCTGAGGTTTTCGTTGATGTGCACCCCCAGGAACTTGGTGCTGCTGACGACCTCCACTGCTGAGTCGTTGATGAGGAGTGGTGTGTGGGTGTGTCTGGATTTCCTGAAGTCTACGATGATCTCCTTGGTCTTGTTGACATTCAGGATCAGGTTGTTTCCACTACACCAGTCAACCAGATGCCGCACCTCCTCCCTATAGGCCGTCTTGTTGTTGTCCCGGATGAGGCCCACCACTGTGGTGTCGTCCGCGTACTTCAGGATGTGAAGTACGCGGACTTCACATCCTGTCCTTCATTTTGAATAAACAAGTCTGTTCTGACATGGTAGTAGTCAGAACAGACTTGTTCTGTTCTGACAGAATAAGTCTGTCAGAACAGACTGACAGACTTCAGACAGATCCAGTGTGGACACTTCAGATCCACACTGGATCTGAAGTGTGGACGGCAGTCGTGGGTCATCAGGGTGAACAGCAGGGGGCTCAGGACACAGCCCTGAGGGGTGCCGATGTTCAGGGTGATGACATCGGAGATGTTCTCCATTCTGACAGCCTGGGTTCTGTCAGTGAGGAAGTCCAGCAGCCAGTTGCAGAGGGGGGTGTTAATTCCTAAGGGGCCCAGTTTGCCCACCAGGTCTTGGGGGATGATCGTGTTGAACGCTGAGCTGAAGTCTGTTCTCAGCATCCGCACGTGGGTGTTCTTCTCCTCCAGATGCTCCAGGCTCAGGTGGAGAGCAGTGGAGACTGCATCCTCAGCACTGCGCTTGGACTGGTATGCAAACTGGAAAGGGTCGTGTGATGGGGGGAGCGTGGAGATGATGTGGTCCTTAACAAGTCTTTCGAAGCACTTCATGATGGTGGATGTCAGTGCGACGGGGCGGAAGTCGTTAAGGCATGTGATGATGTTGACTTCGGGGCCGGAACGACAGTGGACTTGAAGCACCGTGGGACGACAGCCTGGTCCAGGGACATGTTGCTTCAAAATTTGTCATGTTGGCTTGTTTTAAATTTCATTTAATGGTTCTTGAGGCAAAACTCAAAGTCATTACCTGGAGAAATCATTAGATTTGGTTGATCATATAACAGGTTTAATGTTGAAAATTATCTAATATTATAAGTCATATAGACAAAACAGATACAAACAGACATTCGGCATCTACCTCTGGGCTCCACTTAGCTCACTTTAAGAGTGACACCAAGTGAAGCAAAGATTATACATCAGTTCTGCTCTTGTCTTCTCATTCTGCTCTCTCTCTAAGGGCTGTTGGCTTGCTTAATCAGTTTTTGTTACGTTTAACATAACTGATTTTATAAACATGTTAACATTAAGCCAGTCTCTTGCTGTGGAGAGACTAGCTACATTTAAGACTGTAGTCAATTTTAAATGTTATGGTTATGTAAACATACAGCAGTGTGCATGTGACCAGACAGAGGAAAGACATTGGGATCTTTTAAATGGTTGATTACTCTGTACATTTATGTAAGTTCTGCCAGATTTCTTAAATGTTTTCTTTTGAATTGTTAATATCATCAATAAAAAGGTGGCTCTTACCTTTATGAATCTTGTATGACTTTATTTTGCAACACGACCAACAAATGTTGGTCATGTTGCTTTCTATTCTTAAGTGCTGTTTTAAGGGCGTCATCTTTTTGTTTCATAAGTAACCATATCTTCTTACCATTTTTTTCATTTTTAATAATTTCAAGTTGTAGTTCTTAAGACACCATAAAGAGCAGTATAGGTTTAGTATAGTTATCAGAGCGATACTTTGTTAGCTTTATGCCAGAGAGTTTGTGACAGCAACCTTCCACCTTGTTGCTCTGAGGTTTCATGAGGATATTAAACCAGATGACAACACTACCTGACAGGACAGTGAGACAGTCCATTTTTCTGACATTGCTGGTTTTAAAACCAGATGAAAATAGTAAGACTCATTATTTAAATACTTGGATAAAAAATAAATGGAATTCAACTCTGATATAGCAAGTAGAAAATACTAATATGTCATCAGTTCTCACTAAAGTTAAACAGTTTTTTTATGGCTTAATGTTAACATGTTATAAACTCGGTCAAGTTCAATCTCATCTATTAAGTCATTGTTTGTCTGTCTGCATAAGGCTGTGAGAAAATGCCCCGAATCATACTCCTAGTTGTGGAGGGGTCCAAGCTAACAGGCTATTTTTTAAATTTAAGCCTTGTCATGACAGGAAGTGTGTGTGTGTGGGTGTGTGTGGGTGTGTGCGCATGTGTGTGCATGTGTGCGTGTGCATGAGTGTATGTGTATGTGTGCATGTTTGTCTGTGAGACAGAGGAAAACAGAGACACAGAAAGAGTGTTTGGGGGAGTGTGGGGACAACAGGAAATGGGTTGTTTGGTGCATGGGAAACAGTTATTTTGTGCAACGGACATCATTTGACAGTGATCCTATTCACACTGATGCTAAATATAGAAATTGTATATGAAAAATTTATATTTTTATTGGAAATTAGAAATGGTCCAGAAGTACCACACCTCTAGGCCAATAATTCCTGGAGACATGTAGTCCTACCCTGTAGATGTAGGTGAATATAAGCAATAGTTTGATGAATTATTGACTATGAAAAGAGCCTAGAAATATAACAAAAGTTATTAATAGAATAAGCAAAGTATGTAAACCTATTACTCAGTGAAACCAATTACTGAAATTTCTACAGCGTTCATGTAACTGCAAATGCAGGAATTAAAATCCCAAATAGCATTTTCAATTTGAGAGAAAGATTTCAGACCTTCATAAGGGCTGCACTCAAAACATTGTTTTCTTTACAGTACAGTCGAAAAAGTTGCAAAGCAGGAGATCAAAAATGTATTTTCCTCTGTGACAGCAATTTACTTCCATAGCACCATGAATGAGAGCTTTTCACAATGTCAAAAACCTTCTGTCCAGGTGAGTACTGGATGCTGGGGTGCATAGAGTCACTGAAATTGCTGCTTTGTTCAGCTGTTTGTAGGAGTGCAGAGACACTATTGCATGATGGACCAAGATGTTTGAAATGTCTTTTTCATCTGCTGGGAAGAGAAGAGGTTGGTAACCAAGGGAGATTTCAAAAGGGGACAGACCAGTTGCTGCAGCAATATGGGAGTTGTGGGTGTATTCAACCCTTGGAAGGAACTTGCTTCAGTCTGAGGGGTTTGTGAATGTGAGACATCTAAGGGTGGATTTGAGTTTTTGGTTCATATGTTCTGCTGACCATTGGACTGAGGGTGGTAACCTGAGAGAGACTTTGCCATTGTGGGAAAGGAAAAATTGTTTCCATACCTGAAAAATGAACTGGAAGCCATGGTCAGACAGAACTTCAACAGAAATGCCATGGAGATGAAAAATGTACTTCACAAGAAGTTGGGCAGACTGAAAGGCTCACAGAAGTTTTGTGAGGGGAATAAGTAGGGATGTAAGTTCTGTTTGATGGGCCATTTATACCGATCACAAAGATCCTTGTGATCATTATAAAAAGTTCTTCTGCCCAGTGGCTTTACTTGCAATGCTGCTGGCTGACTTCAATGTTCAGAGATAAATTGAAAAAAAGTTTTTCTTCAAACATTTCTGTATCTTTACAGAGATATTTATTTCAAAGAGTAGTATTCTTTTCAATAAAGATTGAAAAAAATATTACCAATTCAATGTCACATAGATCATGCTTCCATAAAGGATCTTGGATTCAGTTGTGTAATTCATTATAAAACAGTTGTTTTTTATTGTTACAGTGTCAACATGAATCTGGTCCATGCAACAAGCTTTTTTCAGTGTAAACAATGTTGTTCACTACACGGCCTGCAGGCTGTAGCCTACTGACTGTCCTTTGGAACATAAGAATAACTTACACAGACAGAAAAAAAAGTCCTTATCAGATTTATACTGAGGCAGGAACATTACACAACATTGCATTAATGAGGTGCATTCAATTTTTTGTGCCCTTTTTTTTCTACTTGTCCTTTTTTTTTAATAAAAAAAATTAATAAATGCATAGCCTGGCTCTAATATTCAAAATGCAAATAAATAGAAGCAGTAAAACACAAGATCTGATCAATCCTGATCAATCCTATATATATGATCAATCCTGATCAATCCTATATATATATATATATATATATATATATATATATATATATATATATAATATTCCCTTCTCACCCACCGCGGTGGTTCTTATCCTCTGACTCGGGTCCTCTACCAGAGGCCTGGGAGCTTGAGGGTCCTGCAGTATCTTGGCTGTGCCAAGGACTGCTGCACATTTCTGGACTGAGATGTCTGATGTTGTTCCTGGGATCTGTTGTAGCCACTGCTCCAGTTTGGGGTTACTGCCCCGAGGGCCCCGATGACCACAGGCACCACTCTGGTCTTCACCTTCCAGGCCCTCTCCAGTTCTTCCCTGAGGCCGTGGTATTCCTCCAGTTTCTCGTGCTCCTTTTTCCTGATGTTGCAATCACTTGGTATTGCTACATCTACCACAGCGGCTTTCCTCTGTTTTATCCACTACGACAATGTCTGGTTGGTTCGCCCTTACCATTTTGTCTGTCTGGATCTGGAAGTCCCACAGGATCTTAGCTCTGGCGTTCTCCACCACCTTTGGGGTTTTCCCACTTTGATCTCGGGGTTTCCAGTCCATATTCTGCACAAATGTTTCTGTACACAATGCCTGCCACTTGGTTATGTCGTTCCATGTACGCTTTCCCTGCCAGTATCTTGCACCCTGCTGTGATGTGCTGGACTGTCTCAGGGGCCTCCTTGCACAACCTACACCTTGGGTCTTGTCTGGTGTGGTAGATCTGGCCTCTATTGCTCTGGTGTTTAGGGCCTGTTCCTGGGCGGCCAGGATGAGGGCCTCTGTGCTGTCCTTGAGTCCAGCTTTTTCCAGCCATTGGTAGGATTTGCTGATATCAGCTACTTGGGTTATTTGCTGGTGGTACATCCCATGTAGGGGCTTGTCCTCCCATGATGGTATCTCTGGCACCTCGACCTCCGTTCCCTGTTGTCTGAGACATTCACTGAGCACATTGTCTGTTGAGGCTTTGTCCCTGATGTATTTATGGATCTTAGTTGTTTCGTCCTGGACAGTGGTTCTCACACTCACTAGTCCTCTGCCTCCTTCCTTGCGGTTCGTGTACAGTCTCAGGGTGCTGGATTTGGGATGGAACCCTCCATGCATGGTTAGTAGCTTTCTAGTCTTAATATCTGTGGCTTTTATTTCCTCCTTTGGCCAGCTGATTATTCCAGCAGGGTATGATTACTGGCAGGGCATAGCTGTTTATCGCACGGATTTTGTTCTTGCCATTGAGCTGGCTTCTCAGGACTTGCCTTATTCGTTGGAGGTATTTAGCTGTGGCTCCTTTCCTTGTGGCCTCATCGAGGTTGCCATTTGCTTGTGGTATACCTAGGTACTTGTAACTGTCCTCTATGTCTGCTATTGTTCCTTGTGGGAGTGACTCCTTCTGTGCGGATCACCTTCCCCCTCTTTGTGATCAGCCGACCACACTTCTCTAGTCCGAATGACATCCCAATGTCAGTACTGTAGATCCTGGTGGTGTGGATCAGTGAGTCGATGTCTCGCTCACTCTTGGCGTACAGCTTGATGTCATCCATGTAGAGAAGGTGACTGATGTTGGCCCCATTTTTGAGTCGGTATCCGTAGCCATATTGGCTACGGATACCGACTCAAAATAAACCGAGTTTATAACATGTTAACATTAAGCCATATATATATATATATATATATATATATATATATATATATATATATATATATATAGACCCAAGGTGTAGGTTGTGCAAGTCCTGAGAAGCCATATATATACATATATATATAAGCCATATATAAGCCATATATATATATATATATATATAATATATATATATATATATATATATATATATATATATATATATATATATATATATATATATATAGACCCAAGGTGTAGGTTGTGCAAGTCCTGAGAAAGCCATATATATATATATATATAAGCCATATATAAGCCATATATAAGCCATATATATATATATATATATATATATATATATATATATATATATATATATATATATATATATATATATATATATATATATATATATATATATATATATATATATATATATATAATAGCTCAGTCTTAGCAGAGTTTGAAATGCATAATGTTATTTATTATTATAATGTTATTTTTATTACGTACTCAGTAAAATCACCCATGGAAAAAAAAGTCTCATCATATGTGGTGCACATGTGAGAAATATGTGATCACATGTGATAACATGTTGAATAACCCATGGATTACATGAAGAAAACACTTTATTACATGTGAAAGATGGGAACCACATGTGGTCACATGGGATTTTAATGGGATTTTCTTGTAATGGTAGATAGACAGAATCTAACATGTTACAAGATCAGTGGGTTTCTTTTTATTATAATAGTGAGAAATTCCTTCTTCCCTGATCCACAGAATGTGCCTTAAGGTGTGGTCTCTGTAAATCTACACCCAAGGCTATGAAAGTCAAGATGTTGATGAGAAACAAATTGTTTCTTGAATTGTTTATGCAAATATACCTTTGTCTTGCTCTTACTTTTGATTGCAAATCTGGAAAGGATTTCATTCAACCATTCACCAACATTTATTTTTACCACATAGTAAAGCCCACTTAGTACTTTATTTTCAGAAACAGCACAATTTAAACCCTGCAGTGCACAAGATGGTAAACAGCTAACAGGCTCTAAAGCAGGTGCTTACACAGAACCTCCACTGATAGTGTAAGTCAGGTTTGCTTGATTTCTGAAATGCATTTTGTCTGTGGTGGATTGACCAATGCTGCTCTGGTACCCATGTGTGTATTTGCTCAGACAGGCATGCATTTGGACACGCCTGTTCACACAGGTAATCCCTTCCCTACAGTGTTTCTCTGGTCGTTACATGTAAAATTCCACAGTCATTTGACACCCACCCACTGCCGGCCAGCGGCGTCTGAGTATGGTAGATATTATGACAGCCCGTGTCTCCAGACGGGAGCCATGGGCTGTAGTTCAAACAACGTGATAGAGTTAGTGTAGTGACTATTTGGCTATAACTCAAATTCAAAAATCAAACAACTTAATCTGAATCTAATTCAAATAGTCACCTGATGCACCATGGATTCTGGCTTACACAGTCCAGATCAAGAAGGGTCAAAATGTAGTTCTTTGTTTTACTTCACAGTTCAGGTTCGGCAAAACAGCTGATTGACTGAAGTGACTGTCTGACTGATGACTGATTGGGTAGACTGGTAAAAAAAACCTTATGACCATCCACGTGCATCAGGAGCTGCCCAACACCTACCTATTTATGCTGTGAAACACCCATGTCCCAAACTGAAATTAATTAACTAACTAAGTGAATTACTAACGGAAAAACCTATTTTAAATGACAAATGAAACAAAAATTCTAATTATAAATCAACTAGAAAATAAGCAAATAAAAATGATCTAAATAATCTAAATTCTATGAATTAACTGAAAATGGAGAAATAGCTCCTACAGTTACCATGCATGGTTCATCTCCTACCTGGTGATGTTTAGTGAAGAGAACCGACTTGTAGTATTGCTGACAAAGCCAATAAGATGTTGTCAAGTGTTTCAAGGTAAATTCTCAATAAAGCTGAACATTTCCGATGTAAACTCATGGAGACTGAGAAAGGTGATGTCACTGAGTGATAGGGTCACACCAGCCATGTTTAGTCTACTTTAACTGGACTCTAGTTGTTTGCCTAGAAAGTCCAGTTTGTTTGTGGAGATGTGAATGCGCAATCAAACTTGGTCTTGGTTCGGTTGAAGTGAATTGTGACGCAGTTCAAGTGCCAATATGAATGCCAAGTGGACCAGAGACCACTCCAAAAGCAAAATGGACTATCGCGTAGGGGATTCTGGGTAAATATAACCAAAACAAATGTGAGAGTCTAGTGGTAGCTGGAGAAATGTCAAAGACAAAAGTGAAATCCTCTAACTGCTTGAATCTGACACTGCTTCATTTTTGTATACATTTATTGAAGAAGGAAGTTATAATCAGTGTCTTTTTCAATGTAAATTCCTTCAGTTGTTCTTGTTGCAATGCCACCGCAGGTGAGAGTGGGAACAGATTGCTCAAAGGGGTCGCTTGATTTGGTATAATGCAGAGTGAAAGAGAACCACAGCAGCTGAAAATGTTCCAACTTTGGACCCATTCTATTAAGTGGAAGCAGAAAGTATCAAGGCTAAACCCAGCTGTCTGTTGCAGTTCCTGGGCTTACAGGGAACTAGTTCTTGGCTGAGTCATCACAGGTGTTGGAGAATCTGACCAGCAGTGTCTAAAAGAACAGAAAGAAACATCTCAATGCATGTTTTGGAAAATCCATGTGATATATTGGGAAAGGTGAACAGCATAAGTGACCACATGGAGGTTGACTTCAACACATGACCAGGAAGCCTTTTGAAACCTAAACTCCAATCAGCATCAGTCTCAACTAAGAATCTCCACTATGTGCTGGTAATGTCAAATGTAACCAGGTCTAGGGTGAGTGATAACACTGCAACTCTTCTTCTGACTCTGCATGTCAACTGACTCTAGATGTCCTGGCTCCAAAGGAAAAGGCTGCTGCACAGTGTGTGAGAATAACAGTAGAAATGTTGATGTGGGAAGAAAAATTCTGGAAAGGTCTGGAGAACCTTAGTGGGTTTAGTCCAGCCTACATGTCTCTAAGTCAAATCATTCCATTCTGGATCTAGTTCTGTCACATCATACTTGAGAGGGGGATACATTTGTCAGCAGCTTGGTGCTGACAGAATACCAGGAAGTGTGGTGGGAGGCAGTGTCTGCATATCTTTCTTCTGTTTATGCAGCTTCCTCCTAATAATGGTGGTTCTTCACTATTGTTAATGTCAACTTCATTCTAAAAAACATGAGATTTTATCCAAATGCTTGTTAGAATGGTGCTTAGCAGCAACTTTAAAGAGTAGTCTTGAGGCAGAGAAATAGTGCAGACCAACCAGGAGTTTAATCTCCAACATTTAACATATAGACATTCCTGCTTACAACAGCAATGGGTCTCAGCAGCAACCCACACCTACCAACCTGCAATGTGGCCAACATGCAGGCTTTTATAGTCCCTGGCTGCTCCAATTAACAAACCCACAGAGAAACAGGGTAGGACAAAATATATAAACTTGACAAAACAACCAAATCTTCATATTAACAAACACTCTTGATTTTTAAACAGCCATTTCAAAAATACCTTTCTATAAATATGAATCCAATCATTAAACTTCTTAAATGCATAGTTCTATTGCTTCCCCTATTCCACCTGCTCTGGTCTCTTCAGGAACCTTTAAAATGTGCTCAGGCCCCAAGGGAATCGTTTATCCTGAACACTCTGCAGAGGAAGAGACAGCAGTAAGCCACATCTTCACAAACATGTCAATGCATTTCAAACAGTTACAAGATCCATCCATTTGTTTATTTTATTTTAACAGGACACCATCAGTTCCACCTGAGATGCCACTGCATAAAAACTCAATAAGTACTTCAATCTGTATCTGTCTCTTTTATCATTCACCACATATTTTAAGTGTTTCTCTGCCAAGTAATGAAGACCTTCGTTACAATGCTGTTAGTATGTTTTTGATGAGGGAATCAAATTACAGCACAAATAAAGCTCAAAAAAGTTGGTTTCAAAACAGAAATTGATGATTATTCATGTTCTTATTTTCACCCACATTCAAAAACAGAAGAGATCATATCATTCCTAACTGGTTGCCAGTTTGTGATGGACTTATGAAACCATCCACCCAGCGACAATTTTTGGATGGATGGATGGATGGATGGATGGATAATATTGTATATTTGTTTTATTATCATTGTCATCTTTAATTCCAGTTTTATAATTTAAAACCTGATTTTAGTGACATCTAAATGGAAGGGGATGTAAAAATACTGCTGTTTGAAAAATATTTTTTCCTCCTTCACCTAGTGAAGCCATTCTGTCCGAACCACAGGACCAAAGTTTGCTCTGAAATTCTTTGTCTCACTGAATGACTTTAGTGATGATGTTTTTTCCAACTGGAAAATTACCCAGCAGTCTACTACAAGTCCACACATGTTGTCATGGGATTGTTGCAAGGAGGCTGTATTGTTTATCAGGTAGTAAGGTGGGAACCATGTGTCGGTTTCTCAGATCATGTTTCTCAGATAATTCCTGTTTCCCAAAAGGAAAACAATAAATACTGCCACACCAATAATCCTTTATGAGCTGGTTTGGGTTAATAAAGGGATTTTTCCTGGCTCCCAGTCATCCAGCAGCCCGGGCCCTGTACCCCATCCCCTATGACGTAACCCCCCTAATGACCTGACTTACCTGGGCAGGCGAGTGGGCGGAGTCTTTCCTGTGGATACCAGAAGTGCTTCCTCCTCCACCTTGTCTATGAACAGGTGAGCACAGGTGAGAGGGGGAGTCCTGCGTTCACCTTCAGCGCACCTGAGGACAGAAGGTAAATATCTGGAGCTTCTTCTTCTTCCGTCTCTTTTACCTTCTTATTGTGTTTTAGATAATCGTGTCGGCTGGACAGACTCCTCACTTTATTCTGCCAGTTAATTATTTTTGAAAGATGTTTTGGATCGTCTGTGCTGCGCACTAATTGCGTCACGATTGCACTATGTCACCTTGTAAATGAAGCGACTGTACATGCCGGTGGCTTTGTGGGACGCGATCACTGACCTGAGCAGGTGTTGAAGTTTTGGATCCACCATCATCCGAGCGCCGCTGGGCGCCCCCTGCTGGCGCACCACGGCTACAGCTCAAGCCGCCTTCATGTGCAATAGGAAACCAGGCTTACGACCCCAGTCTTCAGTAGATTGCCTCTCCTCTCACAGTTCAGTCGCGCGCCTTGTTTCCTTTTCATGTGACTGGATAAGGATTTTTAGGAAAGAACGTTCTGTCTATCAAAGAGAGAGAGAAAAAATCCAAACCAGCGCTCTGTTGAACTATGACTACTGGTAAATCTGAATAATTGAATTAATAAACAGGGATTCTGTGGGGAAAGCAATCATTTTTATAGCCGCTCAGAAATTCTTCCTTCAACTCTCTTCACTTCACAAAGTGATATCTGGTTTGTACCAGAGAGAGGATACGACAATACAGAACATGATGTCCATCGATTTCCTGTCCCCATGTAATCCTGTCCCACAGTTGGGCTATTTTAACCAGCAGGGGTTTGGTTGCTGCTTAGTTGATATAAGCAGACCAATTGCAGGCAACTGTGACTACGAAGAGTTTCTACTGGAATCATAAAACTGAGGGTTGATTCCGGCTTCCTTCCAACACATCAGATTGCCTCTGATCTGAGTGGCAGTGTGTGAATGTGACTGATGAAAAGAGTTTCAGTTGATCAGTATGACTATGAAAAATACATCTGACCTTTAAGCGTTTTTACGTATCGTAAGGTTTGATTTAATGTTTGTAGAAGCTGGTGAAGAGCGTCTGGTCCTGCTTTGCATGCACACAGCTTGCTTCTAGCCTGGGGAAGAGCCAGTCCTTCAACGCTCAGAGTGAAACATTCTGCAATTATTCCTTAGAGGAATTTGAAGTTTACACTTAAACTCAAATGCTTAGAAAATGTCTTTAGCCTGAGAGGAATCCACAACTTAATTATTCAACTTCCATTGAATAATGTAAGTGGAATAATTACAATGACAGCCAATGAGCCCAGATGTGTGTTGTCTTATTTTATTGTAGCTCACAATAAAACAGGAGACAGGATTTTCTAAGGAAGATGCTCTGAACTCTGAGGAGATTCAGTCATTATTTTTTTGCATTTGACTTTGTGGAGGTTGATGGTGTGACTGGTTACTGCTGCTCCCAGCAACAGGGGTTGACTGTGGGTTTTATAAGCATTCCAGTCCAAAAAACTATCATGGCATGTTGAGTCAATATATTAAACTACTTACAATTTTACCCCAACAACTTCAGCACTGCATTTTATTTTTTAATCCCAAGAGGAAGCCTGTTGTTTTCTATCAGTTGGAAGTTTTTAAATTAAATAAAACAGTGAGAAGTTCAAGTCTTCCTGGATCCTGTGTCTGATCACAGTGCTGGTCAGTTTCTCATGGTCCAGGATGGGAGGAAACAGTCAAACAGACTCACACCAAACGCTGTGAAGCTGGATCTGTGTTGGCTGACCGGGATATGAAGTGATCATTTAATTGAACATATTTTAAGTGTTTTAAGGTTAGATTTTGTTGTGATCCAATGCTAAATTAATAAACGAAATCTGACTGAATTTTAATGAAATACATCATGTTTAATTCTTATATTCAGGGATGGAGAGTTATTTCTTGCTCATGAAGGAGTTCCTTTATGCCCTAACCCTTCTGCTCTCTGCTTCTTTATTTGACATAAATTTATTTTTAAATGAATAACTCAGGATATGTAGAGTGACATTCCGCGCTTTTGGGAGACATTATCTGACGTGTGAACAGTTTCACATGAACTGAGACGCTGGCGCCTCACAGCTCCGTCGTTCCTCATTTCTCCCTTGGGAATTGAATGCAACACGTTTTAAGAGCGTTTCGGCACGATTTTCGTGGCGCTTCCCAGCGCAGTGTCAGTGCAGCAGCAGTGTCAGCAAATGTAGATTTAAGGAACAGCGTCCTTTCATGCGGTTAGGAGGCGTGTTAGCCCGGATGCCCGCATCCTGACAGATAATGCCATCCGGGCGCGTTTCCCTGAGCCACGCATCATTCCCACTGGCCGTCTGGAGATATGCAGCCTGCTGTGTTTAGATGCTGCCTCTCTGTCATTAATTGAAGCTTGTGGTGAAATCAAGCAGCAACTGGTTCCTCGGTTGTCTCCGCTCCGAGCTCCCGAATAGATGGGACGCTGTCCATGCAGCGTCTCCACGCTGCAGCGCTGAGGACTGGATGCTGCTGCAGAGAGCCGCTGACCTGTTGGGGAGTCTTCTCTCCAGCCAGTCCTCCTAACCCCAATGGAGCAGCAAGAGGAACAGGTTGGGGGTTTGTCCCACCATGGCAGTAGCCAGGAACTCGGTAAGATGATTTCCCTTCATTTGCTGAGAAAAAAAAAAAAATTAGGTGCATATTTTTGACCTTACTGTCCATTTGTCTGATTTTACAAGACTCAATGTTTCTGCTGCAAAACTGCCCAACTCCCATCACATTGTAATGGTTTTCTAGCCACGGTTTGGTCTAAACCCTGTGGTTTGTCTGCTGGAACCAGAAGTGAAAGTAAGCCAGTCCGATAAGATAATGTCCGACCGACCAGCTCACTCAGCTGGCCTGGGACCACCTGGGGACTCCCCTGGAGAAGCTGGAAGCAATGGCTGGGAAGAGGGAAGTCTGGGCCTCCCAGCTGAGGTTGATACCCACTTGAGCCCAGATAAGTGGAAGAAGATGGATGGATGGTTTGCACTTTGCTTTCAGAGATACAGAGAGAAAATACAAAAAGTTATTAACAATTGTTGTCATTGTATCTAAAACAAGAATTTAAAACTCTTTCCACCCATGGCTAGACCTGGATTCAGTTGAGTTGAATCCAGGTCTTAGTCCTGAAGGGAAACAGTAGAGCTCTCATTTCCCAACTGTCTTCAGAATTATTCTTCATGTTTGGAGCAAATGCATGGCTTTGAATGACAGGCCACATATTTTCATGAGTAAATAATGTCATTAGCTTGTTGTCATACAGACCAGACACCCAGGAGAGAAGTTGGAGTGATTTGATGCAGACAGGTTTTTCCACTCCGCCTCCTGTTCGGTCTGATTTTATTTTTTCACCCTGTGCTACTGTGCAGTTAACACAGATTCAACAAAAATACACAAACACATTTCCCTCACTGTCTAAAGATAAATCAGTAATTTTAGGTAAGTTAGAATCAGCAAAATTGTTTCTACTTGATAAATGCCACATTAATGAGAATATGTCAGATTAAGTTATTATCATCATCAGAAGCTTATATCCAGAATGATCCTTGTCTCTTCCAACAAAGAGCCCAGATGATGATGATGATGTTGGTCATGCTTTGGAAACTTCTGACGGAAACTTGAAACTTTGGAACTCAATCGCAGGACAAAAGCCAAAGATGCTGCTCAAGCTATTAGGACAGTGAAACATGTTCTTACTGACAGACTTTTGGGAACACTATGCTAACTGTGAAGTGTGGCAGCATCATGTTGTGGGACCGTTTAGCTGCTGGAGGAACTGGTCCACTTCATAAAATAGATCATGAGGAAGGAGTATTGTGTAGAAATATAGTAACATTTAAAGACATCAGGAAGTTGATACTCAGGTCCAACTTCTAACTTCAGGCGCCTGTCTGCATGGTGCTGGTATGTGAAAGTAACTTTCTGGCACATTACAAAGCAGACACACCCCTTGTGGTCAGAGTCTGGTCCTGCAGATACCCTCTGTCTGTTTCCACCAGCCCACAGTGATCCCTCTTTCATCCTGTGTGCTTTCTGTCTAGTCTCCTCCATTTGGACTCTGTGTTTCTGACCATTGCAGATGAATCTCTGCAGCATGACATCTTCATGGCAGTAAGCAGATAGAGCAATGGTTGTATTTATTCATCAGAGCAATAAGGAAGGAACAGATTTTTGTTTTTGCTTGTTTTTTATTTTTGTTTTTTTTAACCTATATTGATCAGGACCTGTTTCGTCAAAATACCTGGTTATTGTAGTTCAGGTAAATGGAGCCAGTGTGTTATCTGATGGCATGGCCATGATAGCTGCTAACTTCTTATTTTTCTTGCTGTGAGTGAACGTTAAACTCGTTGCTGCGTCTCTACGAATCTGCCATGATGTCTGGGAGATAGCATGAAACCTGCAGCATTTTGTTTCTTTGGATGATGTTCGAGATGGAAGGAAGTTTGAGTGGCACAGACTGCATGGAATGATTGAAATGCATCCGTGTAACATATTGAAATGCTATACAGAGTAAATTCTGGTACATTTTGCTTGAAAAATCAAATGTATTATTATTATGTCTGAATATTCTGGCAATAATTTCCTTTTCTTAGATTAAACAGTCAAAAATTATCCAGATTGTAATTTATGGATTGATGGTCCATAAAAACTTTATCTGCATATAATACAACCCCAAATCATATTTCCATATAACACTTTATTTTATTTTTTTGCATCATATTTAGATATTTAAACCAGCCATATTTAATAGATAATAGGCCAATATGGCCGAAATCACAACATAAACATTTTATAGTGGTTGAAAGCAATAATTATTGATTAGTCTTTTATTTTAAATATTTGAAATACTGTCAAACTGGTGGCATGCTTTTCATGTTTTATCCAGTTTTAACTCCACACTGTTGTGTTTTTTATTTCAAAGCAGTCATGAGGTGTGATGGCGAAACCTGAAACTGCTGCTGCTTATTGAGCAGGTTGTTGCTAGGTAACCAAAGTGAGTGATTTAGTTATTGCCACTAACCTTTCTTTGCTGGTTGTTAGAGGTTCAGTGGCTGAAGTCTTTCCTCTGCCTCCATCCCCCACGATGCTGTGTGATTCTGTATTCTGAATTATTGAAAATTTGATAAGCTATATTATCGATTGATATTCATCATATATCTATTGTGATATATATTGTTGTTGATTTATTGTCCATCCCTAGTAGAAACACAGGAGCTTATTTATCTGTTATACCAGTTCATTTATAATCTGGTGAAATATACAGAAAGTTAATTAAATATTACATAAGAATGATTCAACCTGAAAAAAACAGATCTGTTGTGGTGTCATTGATGTAGAAAATGACATGTAGCACATAAAGGCTGCTTCGTCAAACATGATCCAACTTGCCATGTGACATCAAGCACATCTTCTCAGGAATTTGCATCAGATTACGTCTCTGTCATGGCTGCTGCACAGATCCACCCAGGCAGGATCCTGTCTGAGCAAGTGACACATTACAAAGGGATGTTGACTTAAAAAAAATACTGTAACTCTAAACTCTAAAGAACATCAACTTAAAAAAATATATATCTTTTTGTGCCTTTATTCCCGCTTTTAGTATCTGCTTAATAGGAGCTGCCTTAAACAAAAAACCTCTAAAGTGGTCAGAGTAAAATTTGTCATTTGCTCATATCTCAAAAGCAAAACCTTTGCTGACTTGAACATTTCCTCCGATAAAGGGAGAGTGTTTCAGGTGCAGCAGCACTGAAAACTATTCCAACCCCAGTGGAAGTTTGGCTACTTGACACGATACGGACATACAGCTGTTTGTAACACAGCAGCTTCACACGACCAATGTCAAATTTAGTTCAAAAATATTTTATTCCAAAGGCACGTTAAATATTGTTGAAATTCATATCATTCAAGTATCTTCAGAGTGCCTGTGGATGGTGACTTTGTGGAAAGGAAGGATCTCCAGTAGCAGTCAGTATACCAACAAAACGAGAAGGCCTCTAACTGAAGACTGTTGCTGTATGTTGTGACATGTGAGGAACATTGGACTCTGGGATATGATCCTTGACCATCATGATGGAGGGAAGAGTTGCTCTGAACTTCCTCCATATCTCTCTCTCTGGTCCTGCTCTGTTTCCACGAAGCCTCAAATTTAACGCCTCTGGAATTTGGGGTCAAAGTTCAGGTTTAAATTCAGCTTTTGAGATGATGATCAGCTGTTCCCATTTGTAAAAATGATGTGTAAATATATGCTGTTGCTATATTTACACATCAAATGTTTTGCTTAATTTTTTTTTTTACTCAGAAAGTAAAAAAGTAAAAACAAAAATCCTTCTGATGTGATCCAGGAGGGAACACACCAGAGGAAAAACTGTCCACACTTGCAACGCCTCAACCAAAAAACTATAAACAAAAACAACAAATGTTTCATAATTTCAGGATCCTCTATCCTTTCTGACTAAATTGAATTGAATTTGTTCACAACCATATAAATTAAATTATATAGTGCCAATTCACAACAGATCTTGTCTCAAGGTACTTTGCAAAAAGGAAAATTCAAGTTCGTTGTTCCTTTTATGCTTCTGGGTCAGGAGGTGCTTGTTGCGCAGATCTGCTCATTAGTTCAGATGTGGGTGCATGAATGGACATTTGTGTGTGCACACACATACACACGCAGGTATGCCACTCTGTAGCACTTCTCAGCAGGTGAAGGAAATCTGGCCCAATCAGCAGCACCATCAACTCAGGTATATAAGGAATCCACTAACCACTTTACTGGTTTTGCAACAGAGCTGAGGAAGGCAAACACAGCCTCCAAAGCAGCATTTCATGGGAAAGGACTTAGAAGGACTACCGGTAAGCCACTAACTGGGCTCAATTGAATGTAATTTGACTGTAGTTTTACATTTGAGAAATGAAATGAAGAATTTATTGAAGTAACAGTTTGCACTGCTAGTTTATAGTTTGGTTCCACTAAATGTATGTTAAGATATCTAATGTAAAAAACCTTATGTCCTAAGGAAAAAAAAAAAAAAAAAAAAAAACTGTAACTCTGAAGTGTGATTTGTTTGATTTGTTTGATTCAAATTCAACCAGACATGAAATTTAATAATTTAATATTGTGAATTTAAGGTTAAAAAATTTAATTAATCATTAAGATAAATTATTAACTTTGAACCAAATGTCTAAAATGTATGTTAAAATATTTTGTATGTGTTTGTAGGTTTTTCACCTGTTCTGTGCATTGGTTCTCACTCATTGGTGAAAATAAAAAGGATTGAGTGAATTCCTGAAGTTCAAGTCCTCCTTTTCAAGTGTAGGAAACCATGAAATTATAAGACACTTGACAGTGAAAAACCGCCCCAATTAGAGAGAATTCCATTCTGCAACCAGAGACTGAAATCTGCTATCTGTCTTCCAACGGAGGAAAATGGCTGAACTAAAGTCCCTGGATGACCTCAAAGCAGAGAGGACAACAGTTAAAAGACTTTTCTCCCGTTTTGCAAATAACATTATGAGGACCTACATGGAGATGTCTAAGGAGGATCTGGAGGAAAACTACAAGAAGCTTACACTGGAGAGCTCCAAAGTTATGGAGGCAAATGAGGATGTGG